CTGGGCTAGGGCGTGGCATGCCTTGGATGGTCGTTTCGCGCCAGCTGATCGTGCATGGTCTGCGCTTCTGCGCGTTCCGGCCTTTGCCAGTGAGGTTTTGCAGCAGGTCTCGGGTCAACATGGAGTGTACCTTGAGCCTCGATCCTCCAATGGACGGGACACTGATGCCCGTTGGTGCGTCTTCAGAGGAAATACGGCACTCGCTTTCTCAAACAGCATGTTGAGCATGCCTTCACTCTCTTGCGCCCAGGTGAAGTTTATTCGGCAATTTCAGTCAGCAAGCTGCGGCGTTTGATCTGCCTTTCAGCGCCCGGCGAGTTGGCCTCCAGAAGCGCCCTTCGGATCTGAAGTGGTCCGCCAAGGTCTTACAGCAAGTTGGTAGCACGGAAGCAGGTTCGATCTGGGAGGTTGGCTCTGAATCTGATCCCCCCTGCTAAGTTGCTTCGGATTTCTGATCGGGACATTGTGGTTATACTTTCATGCGGGGTGCGAGCGTGATTGCTTCTGCCGGTGCAAAGTCGCACCAGTCGGTCCAGTCGGTTCCGGTACCTCAAAAGCTGGACCCTTGGTTGACGTCTGATCCATGGAAATCTTCGACGACTGCTGTTTCTTCCGGTGGACCTGACAAGCTTGTTCAGTTGGAATCCCGTTTGGCACACAACGTCCAGACCACTGCAAAAAAATTGCGGGAGGCTCTCGTGTCTCGTGGAGTGCTTCAAGCAGGAGCCCGAATGCGCGGCTTCTTGGTTCATCGCGAAGCTAATTGGTTTATGACTCAAGCTCTGGTCGAAGCCTGCTTAGCTGATGGCACGGCTCTCTTGGGTCGTTCGTTGACATTGAGAAGGCCTTCGAGTCGGATCCTCGAGCCCCGTTGGAGCATCTGTGTCGCTGCTTGGGTTTGCCCACTCTCTGACCTCTGCCTGGTTTCGCTTCTGGGTGGCATGTCGGCGACGGTTCAACATACATGATCAGTTTGGAGCTTCATTGTCTTTGTCCTCCGGCCTTCCTGAAGGTTGTGGCCTGTCTGTCCTTCTTGGATTACTGCTGGGATCGGTATCAATTGGTTTTCTCGCCGGCTTCGGTGCCGTTTTCTCATGCGCATATCCTCAGCTTGCTCTCAGGGGCGGTTTCTTCACTCGTCCATAACCATGGACATGTTCTTTGAGATGTGGGGTATGAGCCTAGACTCTCGCAAGACTTTCTGTTGGGCTGCGAAACCTGCTGACCCTACCACATTACGTTCCTTGCATTTTGCGGTGAAGCTTACAACCCTGGACTTGGGCGGCGCATTGGCATTTGGACGTCGTTCTGCTGCCCCGCTTCAAGTGCAGCGTTTGCAAATTGGCTGAGGCCTGGTCGGCTCTTCGTCGCTCGGTCGCTCCCCGGCCCTGAAAGAATATATGATTCGACAGGCATTTTGGCCTCGAGGCCTGCGCGCTATTTGCATGACTCCACTGCATTTCCGACACATTGCGGCAGCACGTACTCAAGCTGTTCGCGCCTTGGGGGTTCAAAAAAGTGGAGCGCATCCTGGTATTCGTTTGTCCCTGCTCACTTCAGCTCCGGAGGCTGATCCTGGGTGTTATAGCAACTTCTTCGTACATACCTGGACTTTCGTAGGCTTCTCGCTAAGCAACCGCCGTTGCTTTCCTTGTGGCAGAATTATGAAGCTCAAGATTCTCCGGCTCTTTTTGGGCCTTTCTCTAAGCTTCAGGAGCCGTGTCAGCTAATCCGTTGGGTGATTTGTGATGCACCTCGTCTCGAGGACCACGATGGCTGTGTTCTCGACCTCTTGGCCATCCCTGCGTGACCACCTCACTCATCGCCTGCACGATGCTTGGTTCCAGGCCCTGGCCTGTGAGGTGGGCCATCGCCAAGATTTTCATGGTTTGACTGGCTTCTGTTGGCCTGCGCCAGTGCCTGTCCACCACCTGACCTCGCTACGTACAGCAGTCTCAGTTGGCAGTTCTGCGTGAAGGGGCTTCCTTCACGGGTGCCCACATTGGCAAGTTTGACAAGCTTCGTGGAGATAAATGTCGACGTTGTGGCACGCCTGACTCGGTTGAGCATCGCGGCTTGGTTTGCCCTCGATATAGTTCTGCGCGCTTCTCACGCAGAGGCCATCCGACTGTGGTCTCAGGTTCCTGTCACCCTACATGAGCGGCTTCTGCTGGTGCCTGACTATGGTTGGAACTTTGCTTTCTTGGCTGCTCCTCCTGGCCGTAAAAACATCTTCACTGATGGGAGCGCTTGGCCAGACCAGGCAGGAGGGAATACTTTGGCTCTACGCGGATCAAGTTTATGTTCAACGTGTCCCAGGTCACGCTAGTATTGGTTCTTTGCAAGACACTGACGCATGGGCAGCGCACTGGAACGATGTTGATTTAGCTCGCCCCTTTTCGAGAGCTTGAGCCGCACAGTCGGTTGCTTGGATGGACTCTGGCCGCACCGCGCTTCGCGCCGTGTGAGCTAGCTTTGGAGACGGCTCGCTGCTTCCACTGGTGTGGCGATTGTCCGGTCCCTCGCTCGCGATGCCGGAAATGCAAGCCCGTTCCCAAACCAAAACGGCCCCCCTGCATAGCGAGGGAGCGACGCCCAACGCAATAACGCCCCTCAGCACATTCGGCACCGGGGCCCGTAAGAGTCGCGGTTCAGTAGGCCATCGGATCTCTTTCCCTACAAACTTGAAGAAGCGCGAAGAAACTCAACTTCAACCCAATGTACTATATAGGGCTCTACGCAGCCATTGCGAGTCTCGTCACGATTCGCCATGCCTGCTTCACTGAGTCCGCGATGAGTTTGCCATCTGCAAAGACCTCATGCGCGACACGCTCCATCTATCTCCAACTCCCATCTCACATCATTTTTTTATCTCTGCCCAGTGCCCTCCCCCTTCAAAAATCGTCACATTTGTTTAGTTTGCTGCGCCATGATGTATACACTCTGGGTGTTTCCAAGCACGTCGCATTCCGCATCTTCCGCTGAGAAAAGCGCAACTCAAGTGGATCCATCTGTGTCACAGCCTTGGCAATCAGTCAGGGACAGGTCGGACAGAACATAAAAGAACAACACTTTCGAACTTCGAGATCAACATACACTTAAGTGCACACACGATCAAACACTCAACAAGAAAACAAAACGTGAACCGCGTTCCAAAAGATGCATCAAGCTGATTCAATGCAAATGGTCTCCCAAAACACACGCGTGCGCACACACACGCACACACTTGAGTTGGTTGCTCCGTAGAGCGCGATTTCAGGCTGCTTCGCGGAGTGCATTAGCCCTTTAAGATTACTGCAGGTTAGACCTTGACTGAAAAAGGTGCTGGGTCCGAGCAACAGTATTGTTGAACAAGAATGCAAGTGAAAAGACCAAAACAATTGTGGAGAGACTGTAAGTTAGTAGCGATACCAGGAGTTAGTAGCAAAGCCAGGGGCCCTAGTAGCGTCCTTACACCTTGTAGAAAGGTCAGAGGTCCTGGCTTCTGATAGCGAGGCCAGAAGCCCCTAGTAGCGTCGTTGGTGTCCACCGGTCGCAAAACTTTGTACATATAGCGCCAATATTGGCGCTTTTTGTGAAGACTACTAGCGACCTAAAAAGCCTTAGAATGACAGAAAAAGCAAACAAAACAAAAGCAGACTAAGAGGGCAAGAAGGAAAGATAGGTGTAGTTACGAGGCCCACTTAGTTAAATGAAAGTAGAGCGCGAGCGGGACATTTTGTCTTAAACCGCCCGGGTAGCTGGCAATAGCTAGGAGAAACAGAAGGAAAGGCACCAACACACAAGTGCGTTGAGTGCGATTTCCTTCTGTTGCCCGAATAGCGGGTGGGGTAGCAACGAGGCCCAGGGGTAGGGGGGGTTGTGGCAGGTACGTCGATTTGGCGTCCCAAATCGATTTCACAGACCAATGCAAGTGTCTTTGTTAGTGCCAGACTTGCATGGTCCCTGGCACCCCCTGCTCATGGTCTGTACAAAAGTGCTTGGCTGAAGTAGTAGGAATAGCTAGAGTAGCGTCCTTGGAAACAGGGGTGGACACACACAGAAAGCCGAATCCGGCGCAGCTAGAAACCGTCTTGGAAGCCAATCAGTCAGCTGAAGCTTGGTTTTCCTTTTTCTTTTTCTTTTGATTTTTCTTTGTCTTTTTCTTTTTCTTTCCTTTGTTCTCTTGCCTTTTTCCGCCAGGGGGTGAAGGGGTGTTCGGGCGTGCGTTGACTAAACGAGCCTGGATGCCACCTAACCAGCCTGAAGAAAAGAACAAGACAAACGAAAAAGGCAAGGAAAGAAGAGAAAGGTGCAGGGGGTGCCGGGGCCGGGCAGGGCGTGCGTTGACTAAACGAGCCTTGATCATACCTAAAAAGCCTGAAGGAAGGAACAAGACAAACGAAAAAAACAAGAAAAACAAGCAAAGGTGCAGGGGGTGCGGGGCAGGTGGGATGGATGCTCTTACGAGCGAACGGCACGGGCCCATAGGCACTGTCCGAGAAGCCGAATCGGCGCTTTGTTAAAAGTTAAAAATTGGAACAAGGAAACATCTCCGGGGTGAAACAGTTGCAGTTGAACTCTGCAGTCTATTTCAGTGGAAGTTTCAGTGAACTCTGCAGTAACACTTCACGTGTGCAAGGTGAGACAGTCCAATCAAGCTGATTTTAAATCAAGAAAATACAGTCGCGTGAGCTTCAGAGATACTTCAGGAAACTTACTCCTGCGGTGAGGAGTGAGAAGGTTCTTGCAGTAACAGCGCCCCGTAGGGATCACACAGCTTACCACAGTGGGAAGAAGCTGCGAAGACACACTTGAGTTGGTTGCTCCGTAGAGCGCGATTTCAGGCTGCTTCGCGGAGTGCATTAGCCCTTTAAGATTACTGCAGGTTAGACCTTGACTGAAAAAAAGTGCTGGGTCCGAGCAACAGTATTGTTGAACAAGAATGCAAGTGAAAAGACCAAAACAATTGTTGAGAGACTGTAAGTTAGTAGCGATACCAGGAGGCCTTAGTAGCAAAGCCAGGGGCCCTAGTAGCGTCCTTACACCTTGTAGAAAGGTCAGAGGTCCTGGCTTCTGATAGCGAGGCCAGAAGCCCCTAGTAGCGTCGTTGGTGTCCACCACCGGTCGCAAAACTTTGTACATATAGCGCCAATATTGGCGCTTTTTGTGAAGACTACTAGCGACCTAAAAAGCCTTAGAAAGACAGAAAAAGCAAAGAAAACAAAAGCAGACTAAGAGGGCAAGAAGGAAAGATAGGTGTAGTTACGAGGCCCACTTAGTTAAATGAAAGAAGAGCGCGAGCGGGACATTTTGTCTTAAACCGCCCGGGTAGCTAGCAATAGCTAGGAGAAACAGAAGGAAAGGCACCAACACACAAGTGCGTTGAGTGCGATTTCCTTCTGTTGCCCGAATAGCGGGTGGGGTAGCAACGAGGCCCAGGGGTAGGGGGGGTTGTGGCAGGTACGTCGATTTGGCGTCCCAAATCGATTTCACAGACCAATGCAAGTGTCTTTGTTAGTGCCAGACTTGCATGGTCCCTGGCACCCCCTGCTCATGGTCTGTACAAAAGTGCTTGGCTGAAGTAGTAGGAATAGCTAGAGTAGTGTCCTTGGAAACAGGGGTGGACACACACACACTTACACTTTGCAAGTCCAAAACTGAACCGATGCCAGGTCACCCTCTCGCTGCAATCACTCGGGGCATCCTGTTCCTCTTGTTCCTCATGATCCTCATATTCCTCGCCTGCGCGCAATACCGAGCACAAAACACAAACATATTGGGAAAACACTAGCACAGCATTGTTGACGTTACACACTAGGCATACAAGGCAGCGAACTAATCACCTGAATGACTTGCAGTCTCATAGTGATTGGTTTCCAACGTCTCCAACCATCATATATCAATCTCCATTGCAGTGACCGTATGACCATCTGGGCGCCTACTGTTTTCAGCTTGAATTCCCCCCACAGTTTGAGCAATGTGTATATATAATATACTATACATATACGTAAAGAAAATCATATAAGTATCTATGTATGCGTGTTTGTATGTATACACGCATGAGCGCCAGCCTTTCGTCTGTGAGGGAACGCCATCCAGTTGCAATTTTGCAGGCGGAATGCAGGCGAAGCCCTCAAGGCATGAATTTCCCGCGACAAAGCTGCTTGATCGATGTCCACCGACTCGGAAGGAAGTTGGGCGAGCCATGATACCTTCAGTCAGTCTTGCTATCCCGACTTGTATCAGGGGCAGGCGACCCCTGGCGTGTCACTTTCGCCGCCGGATCTCTCAAAAAGCCTGCAGGAAGCAGAAGATGAGTCTGTTGAGCTTGAGCAATTCTTGACTCAGCGTCAGGTCGCGTCAGAAGACCCGAAGCCTTCGATATGCAGGGAGCGAGCAGGTTCAAAAGCAAGCGCAGGAAGTGAGATGCCCTCATTCAAAAAAGAGATCAAGCGCCGAGCAAAACGGGCTCGTTAAAGGGAAAGTTGCTGTGGCCATGGCCGTCGAAGAGTCATTCATCGTTCCACCCCAGGCTCTCTTTGCAGTAGCTGCGAGAGAAAGCATTCCCAACCTTCCAGAAGTACAGCAGCTGCTCTTGAGTTCTTGCGGATTTGGTGTTCTGGCTTCTGGACGCGGTCGTTCAATCATCGCAGCAGCTGCATTGAGGGAATTTTGGAAAGCTCAAATGGCACTTCTAGGTTTTCCTTTTGAACAGACCAACCGCTTCAAGTTGTGGCGGCCAGAAGAAGGCATCTCATCACGCCATACGAGCGCCGGTCTTGAGAGGCCGCCTGCCAAACACTATCAAGACGGCAATTGTTCAGGGTCAAGCACTCCCGTCTACGAACAAAGCTGGCCAGTTCACTGTGTTCATTTGCTGGCTGTGTGGGAGTGTGGGATTTAGGGAATTGTAGGGAATGCATGTCGATCGACAGAGTGCGAGCCTTCGCTGAGGCTGCGATCAGATTTGACCCTTTGCCTGTACTTCGTCAGAGAGAACTCTCAGTTGGTTGGAGTTATGGGTGTTCATGTTCCACCCAGTTCGACCTGAACACGCGGCGTTTGCAAATAGAGACACTCACACTCAAGCAGGATACGTCTTGTCTTGTGTGAACAAAGCCCTGAACGAGGGCAAGGTCTCAAGGCTTCCTGGAAGAGCTATCCTCAGCTTCACTTTGCTGGTGAAAGTCAAGGTCTGTCCTCAGCTACCAGAACCGTTGAATGGCTGCGTCTGGTTTCGAGTGAAGCTCTTGACGACAACATGTCTAAAACAACCACATGGAAAACTGGTGTCGAGTGAGAGCACTCTGGAGATGGGTAAACCTAGTGTTCAGGTCAATAGCGCAGAGCGCTCAGCCAACGCCAAGAACTCTTGCTGTACAGAGCACGCCTTTGGAATTGCGACGTGTCAATGAAACAATTGTTGCATTCTCCTGAAGCTTCGCCTCCTTTAGCAACCGTGTTTGAAGGAGTCGTCGGGCGCTAGAGCAGCAGAAAGCAGCAGTATGTTGTGGACACATGACGACGCTGTCCAAATGCAAGCGTTGCTGGCCAAGGCCACCGGCACTGGCCTGAGCCTGGCGCGCAAAAGAGCAAACCTAAATAAATCAGGTTTGGAAATGTCACGGGCCAGGGCGTGCGTTACATGGACCTCTTCAAGGCCAAGGCTGACAAAGCGCTTAGCTACATCAAATGCATTTGCGTTCGCTAAGCCAGCCATTCGTGACTTCATTCCTGGCACCAGCACTCTTCAGTTAAAAATGGGCCTAAGTATTTGAGCTGGCATTTCAATAGCGCGGTCTTTTGTGGACGAGACTATATTATAAGCAGTGCTGATTTGCAAGCATGAACGCCCGTGAAGGAGCGCCACTTGGAAGGAGGGCCATCATGAAGAACAAGTTTGCTAATGGTACCGCCCACTTATGGTTCGTAATAAACCCCATCCAGAACCTTCCGAAACCGGGCTGGCGCCCCAAAGGCCACTCGAACTCCAGCGTATTGAGCGTTTGCGCCGTTTCTTTGACCGCTTGCACTATGTTTTTTCTGATGGTTCTCCGGTCTCCGGCTCATTTTCCAAGTTTTTTTGCCCGAATGAGCCAAACTTTGCCGAACACCCAAAAGCAAAGCACCAAACCCGCGCGGCGTCTTAAGACTGATTGGCGTTTACAAAACGCTATATTATAGATATGTGAGCATGCAACAGTAACATGCATCTGGTTCATTGTTAGAAACGTTTTCCAACCGGTTTAGCTGTTTAGCTTTAAAAAACGGCTGCCAACGATGCAAGCCTTGGTGACAACAAATGTGTTTGTACCATATCGAAACCGTCGCTACCTCTTAATTAAAAATTATGAAAGCCAAAAGTCGCGCGTTTTCCAATACACTTGAGGCCTGTGTGTTGCGGTGCATGTATACAAGGATGACCGTTATGCTGGTTCTGTGGCGTATTCAATCACGGCCTCTTCATCCTTGCATACTTTGCACAGTTCGATGCCTTTTGCATCTTTCCAGTGGGGGCACTGCACATCGAAATGGACGACCCTTCCACCGAAGCATTTCCTGAAATTCAAAAATTTCTTCTCCAGCTTGAAGGGTCTCTTCTCCACCAGCTGGTACATCTAAGTTCTCATCTCGCTGCTGTCGAGCCATTTCTCAATCCACTTTCAAACCTTCGATCAGGCCCTCGGCCCTCAGCAGCTCTTCATGCGCGCCGTTGGCTCGATCCTCCATGTCGTGGATCTGCTCTTCATACTTCAGCCATAGGCTGCATTCCAGCCATTGTGTCACCTGGACCTCTTGGTCTTGTGAAGACCTTTTCTCCTCCGAGTTCTTGATCTCTCTGATCATGCCCACGTCACTCTCCCAGGTGAGCATGCTCTTCATGAACTTCACCCCAATGTACCGAAGCCAACGCAATACGCTCAAGGCCCCGACCAAGGCGCACAAAATGAGTGCCCACCATTCAAACTTGTACGCATTGGGCCCAGTCTCATAGTCCATAGACTCTCCCGCAACTGTATCCTCGCTTGCCATCAGCACAGAAGTCCCACTCGAAGATCTTTTCTGGTATTGGTACTCGATGTCCATGCACTCCTCTCGACCTACTCTGTCACTGATGGAGTCAATCACCTTCATCATGTAGAGCAGGCCAAAAAGTCTTTTCTTTGTGAGGCTCTTTGTACCCACATCGGCACAGTTGAGCTCTGTGGGAATTGCAGCTATGCTCAATACTTTGATCCTTTTCTTTCAACAACGATGCATGAAGATGTCGTACACGACCGACGCCTTGCCTCTGCACCATTGCCCTCGCTGCACTGCTGTCAGAACGCACCTTCGTCTTGCACTCCTGACACGGCTCTCCATGAGGTCGCCGTCGATGCAAATCTGGAACGATGATGTTGACTTTCGGTCATCTCTGCTTCCAGCATGCGACCACTTCCAGCAAATGAAACTCTTCTGGATCCACCTCCACATCCTCTCGTGGATCAACAAGCATCGATCTCCCCTTCTCTCTTCTTCTGAGGCGTACTCCAGGTCCAAAGTCGATCGCGCCGTGGAGGTATAGGAGCAAAGGTGCCATGCTCTCCTCCACGCTTCCTTTGTGGGGGCTGCCATCTTCTTCGCCAAGGATTGAATGGCGAATTGAGCATCCGGCCTCTCACTTGCCATGTACATGAGTCTCCCCGCTGACTCATCCCTCTTTGTGGCATTTTGATCCATGGGTGTCTTTCAGTATGCCTTCTTGAACAAGTCGATCTCCTTCTCAAGGCCATAATATTGCTTCCCGTCGCACCTGATGTCCACATGGTCCGCGCTACATTGAACTGCCTCTTCAAATGGAAAAATTTGCCACCTGCTTGGAAAGGACCATACTCCTCCACTTTCCACCCTTTCATGTTCTTGAGGAAGTTGACAAACTTCAAGAGCACGGACTCTCTGCCAATCATGAACGCGTCACCCACATGGACTGTCAACACCACCTCCCCATGCTTGATGAAGACTGTAGGTTGCATTTGGTCTTGATGCATGCCAAACTCCTTACAACCACCTGCAAACAACTGAAACCATTTTGCTGCAGCAGTCCTCTGACCGGGCAAGCACTTCAGCAGTTGATAGATTTTGTCTCCAATCCGCACATAGGCCTTTGCATCTTTTGGCTGTGGTGACATTAGGAATGCGTCCTTGATTCAAGATGATGGGGATGATCATTAGCGAGGTGGGAGCAAATTTTTGTTCCATTTCCACGCACCAGGGTTCGCCTAAACCATCCTCCTTGCCCCAGTCTGTGCTTCCACGTAATGACCATCTTGGCGCTGATGATGTGCCCGTTCTCCTTCGTTACGTCCTCCTCTGTTGACTCTTCCATAGCTGGCAACTTCAGCGTCCGTTCAATTTCTTTCTCTTTTGCCTCGATATCCAAGGCGGTCAGCTCTGCCTCTGACACTTCAGGAGGGTCGTCATCTTCATCTCCTCCATAACCCATGAGCTCCTCGGTGACTTCTTCTGGCATGTAATCCAGTCCGGCCTCTTCATCGCCGTGAGCTTCAATAGCTTCAATCCCTGCATAGCGTGGTGGATATAGCCTTGACTTCTTTGCGCTTGGTGATCCTTCCACAACAGCATCTGCTTCTCGACTGGCTTGGCCTCTGTCCATCTCCTCTGACTGACTCTTCATGACTCGTCACCTTCTGCCTCTTTTCCTCTGCTTGTTCTTCCTCCTCACCTTCTCTCTTCGCAAACATCTTCCTTGGTGACGTTGTGACATCCAGTTTCTTTGCTTCTGGCTCCTCTTCCTGCTCACCCTCTGCAGTCCTCTTCACACCCGTGGTCACTTCTACGGATGGTGCTGGTGTCATGGGCGGCGCTGCAAATGCTCCTGCTGGTGTCTTTGGTTGCGCTGCCAAACCTGGTGTGGGTGTCACTAGACCTGCAGCGACTGTCTTGGACACCTCCTCAAGTTCGTCTGGATTGATACCCGCTTCCAATGTAGGATTCCTTGGCGTCGTCCCACAACTCGCTTTATGAGTATACCTTGTGGAGAGTAATTCCAAGGCAGGCCTTTTGCAATCACCATCTCCAGAGCATTGAAAGATTGTTCAGCTGCTAGTCGACGAATGGTCCTGGCCTCATATGCTCAATCTGGCGTGAGAACCACGTGCATGTCGTTCCAAACGTGTTTTCCACGCCAAATGCACCTGATGAAACCATCTGAACCTTTGTTCCTCACCGCTCGCTTGAACACCACGCTCTCTCCGGACAGCGCCAATTTGCCTCGATAACTATGGCCTGTTGCGAGCTCATATGATGTCTTACCGGTTCCTTCGAGCACTTCCCGGTTCCTTCGAGCACTCTGAACCGGTTGATCAAGAATGCTGCGTGCTTGAATGCCCAGGGGTACAAGTGGAAATTGCCTGGGATGTCAATGTTTGCTGCATGTGTCACCTGCAAATTCTCGAAGACATTTGGCCAGGCGTCTCACCGTCTGCACTGCTCTTTCCGCCAATCCGTTTGACTGGTGTTGCCCTGGTCCTGTCAGGCGGATCTCTGTCTCAAGGCTCATAACCTTTCTCCTGTTGCGCTGCCCTCAAAATCTGTCTTGTTGCTCTTTCTGAATCTGCCTGCAAAATGCATGCATCTCGAGAGCCATTTTCCAGAGTGAATCTGATGACCTCCTCTGTAATGTGTTTCAGGCTTGCTGTACCCTTGATGCTCGTAAAGGCTTTGTCTCCTAAGCTGACGCCGCGCCTTCCAATCTCCATCCACAGGATCACTGTACACGATGACTCCATTTGGAAGACGATGCCATCCTGGCGATAGTTCGAGCTCCTCCACGTACGAACACTCTCACGTTTGCTTCCTTCTGGTCCACTTTCTTCCTCTGCTCCTCCGCCCTTCAAGTTCCTCTCCTCATGGCATAGGAACATCTTTCCTTAACTTCCTCCTCCTATGCTCCAGCCTCGTCGTGGAAGGCGTCCTGCGCATAGGATGGGATTTTGAACATTTCCCAACACAACTCCTCTATCATCTCAATGTCTCTTCCCTTACTATCTGTGATCTTGATCCTTGCCTTTGTCAACCCCTGATGTGCTATCTTTGCGCCTTGTGCGTCCACCGTCCTCAATTGCTCTGAACCTGGTCGCCAAGTCCCGGCCTCTCCATAGTGCAGTGGTAGGACTGATACATCTGCACCACTGTCCAGTGTCACTAGACAGCTGTCCTGGATGACTTCTTCCACCTTCACCATCTGGACGAACTTGGTCTCCTCTACATCGGTTTCGTGGTTTTGCATGTCCATTGCTGACTGGGACGTGACTTGGTGTCCACACTATGGGCTCCTGGCAGTCGAAGAACTCCACATCCGCGAACTCTCCCTTTATTGCATTGATCCTCCACGGATGTCGAATCGCTTCATCATCCTCTTCCTGATTTGTCAGATCAAAGATCTCTGTTGTGAGAATCTCAGGCACTGTAGTGACCCTCACCATCTTCACTTGAGTAGTCTGTGATGTCGAAGTCGCCGGGCCGGACGTACAGATGAACTCGATGCCCCACCCGGGTTCTCCTCAACTTGTTGAACACACTTCCAACATTCCTTGGCCACGTGTCCCTGCTTTCCACAAATGAAGCATCCTCCTGTCTTTCCTTTTGCTACTTTGTCACTGTTGTTTCCTTTCTTGCCTTGCCCCTTCTCCCAAGCATTCTTGCCCTTGTGAAAGAACTTCCATAATCATAATCCTTTTCCTTCTTGCTTCGCCTTTCCTTTGTCCTTGCCTTTTTCCTTTACCCTTTGCGCGTTTGCCCTTCGTCCCACCTTTCTTCCCTTTGTCATAGGCTTTCCCAATGTAGTCCACCCATCGGTGTAGTCTCATCTGCACCTGTGCGAGTGGGAAGAGATAGGCTGTTGCTGGAATCCCATTTCGTGGCGGGCGACTCCAGCTGCATGACCTTTGCCTGCAAGGAATCGTAGGTGGTATGGTCATCGACCCATAGCTGAAGGTGTTGCCTCATGTAGGCAGGACATCCTTGTAGAATCGAAGCCACTTCGTCAGGTGACGATGGCTTCACACTGAGGGAATTGCTCGCTCAGTGATTTACCCTCAGCGAACTGAACTCTTGAGAGTTGGGTTAGCAAAGCAAGGCTCCTCGCTCTTGTAGCTGGTTGCATCTCCTTCAACAGCAACTGCCAAGCAGCGAATCCGTTTTCCTGCTTGTTGTGTTTCACCAACTCCAAAGGGCGGTTTTGAAGGTAAGAAGTGAGTCCACTGTACAGCCTCACTGACATGGTCTTCAGTCTTCATCTCCTCTGTCACGTCGTCAAAGGTGTAGTCACTGTTGACTTTCTTCTCCACCGCATCCACAGCTGAGGCCATTGCAAGATCTATCCCTCGATTGTAACTGCAATATGCAAACTTTCAATCACTCCACATCTTCAGTTCATTGTCCCTTGTATCAGGCTTGAACACATCTGGGGCCTTCAAGTGTCTCGGCCAAGATTGCGATGCCTGGTTCAAACTCAGCTTCTCTAAGGCTGCTGCCACCAACCTCAAACTCTCATCTGCCATCCTCTGCAGTTGTGACGCCTTTGGATAGTAGCTCCTAGAGGTAAGGTGTGCACCGTCTTGCTCAACTTCAAATGGTATGCCGTTCAGGGTCTCCCAGAACTTCCACTGGCAAAGCGCTGCGCCAATCTGACCTTCTTCCAAATCCTCTCTTGTTGCTTCAAGCTTGTCCAAGAACTGCCAGCTTGCAGGAACAACCACTATGAGCTCTCGACAATCCCTCTTTCTCTTCTTTGGCGGCTTCTTCTCCCTCACCAAGAGGGTTGCTTTGGCTGCTCTGTCGCTCTTCAACCGCTTGAGCTTTCCCACGTAGTCGTCCGCTTCCACAAAGATACTATGGAAGGTCCTCCTCTTGATTTTCACTGGGCCTGCTGGTCCTGCGCCACCTTGATAGTAGCACACCTCCTGGCGTAGAGCAGTGACTGAGAAGCTACTGGCCAGACAGGCAAGATCAGAAGCTCGCTCAGCCACACACCGCTCCAACTCGACCTCAAGGACGTAGAGGAAGGTCGAGGTCGAGGTGGTGACCTGCCAGGGCTCCGCTACCATGAAAAGCAAAAGTCGCGCGTTTTCAAATACGCTTGAGGCCTGTGTGTTGCGGCGCATGTATACAAGGATATTTACTTTTGGTTTGGCCATACCGTTTTCCACAGAAACAACAGCCTAAACATGTCAAGGTCACGCCACGCGGACAGTTTTGTCAGTAGCATATAGGCACACGCGTTCCTTTTCTAAGTTTTTGCATTTTCTGGGACTTCAATCTGTGGAACTCGCCGTGAATGTTGCCTGTGCTTGCATGAGGTTCCCACCTGTCCCCACTACATCGCAACTGCAACCCTGCGACATTCTTTGCCCAGCAAGTTGAACGAAGACAGAAGACTAAAAAGACACCATACTCAATTACCATAACGCAGCATCGGAACGCAAGAAACTGTTGGCGTGACCCACTATAGCGGCAGCGCCGCATCCCATGTCCTGGACGATAGGTCTTGAAAAACAATGATGTCGCAAGGCATGCCTGATGGCTATCCAAATTGGTCTCAGTTAGTCACTGACGAGGGCTCAAAAAAGCGATCGCCTCAGCCTTACCTACCTTCAACTAGCGCCCCTCTGCCTGCGCTAATTTTGAAATAGCACAATGCAAACTTTGAAAAAACTAGACCTTCCATATATGAACTTCTTTGTTGGGAACATTGACGCCTGGAACCTCAGGTTTCAGCAGCGTTTGTCCCTGCGTCATCTTCACCTCTTTCAAAAAAATTTTCGGGGCGGCGGACAGGAGTGAAACCGTATATATCGTGTCAAGGAGGGATGTGTGACAACTCGTGACGAGAAGCGGGCGTGTGTGTGTACCCCTTGGAGTCACAGGGTTCCTTTCGGAATGTTTCGCTTTGGCTTTTATTTTCCAGCAGCAACAAACCAGGACTCCCTGGCGCGCGTCCTGGCCAACGCCAGAGAGGTGAAAACGTACCTGCTATTGTTAAACTGTTGGTTGGTTGCTGTGGTCCCTTGGTTTGTTTCATTGTGGTTCATGTCCCTGATGTTGTTCCAGGAGGTGTTCATTTTTTCAAGCGCTTCAATCTGTTTGAGATGGCCTCCAACTACTTGCGTTGACCTCCAACCCACTCGTTCATTTTGAGCTTCGGGGATCCTTAACTGACCTGTCAAGGGCTAATGCACGTCTCGCCGTCTCCTGTCGCTCGTTCGTTTTTCGTTTTGAGCTCTGGAGATCTTTAACTTACCTTGGGCGGTTTACCTAGGCTGGCGTGTGGCAACCGCTTTGGAGTCAGTACGCATGTCAACAAGTGTGTGAGATTGTTCGTCGACGGAGGCCTACAACGGCTTATGGCCAAGCGTCGGACCGGGCCAGGCATTGACTAGCAACCACCCTCAATCACTGATAGCTACCCCTTTGGCCGACTGCCAACCACCAACCCTAAACCGATTCCTTGCTCGGCTTTGTTTGGCTCCGCTATCCTACAGGCCTCTCCCGACACAATCTCTCCATCCACACAACTGAGACCAGCGCCGTCATCCCAAGCAGATGACATGAGGCTTTCTTCCGCGCTTTTGTCTCTCCAACCTCACGGCCTCACATCCTTTCAACGTAACAACGCGATATGATTGGGCGTCAGGTTTGATTGATGCCATCCAGGTCCACCAGATTCTTGATTTGTTGCTACTGTGTTAATTTGGAAGGAGTTTAACATCTTGCAATGACAAAAGGTCTTGAGCAAAACGCTTTTGGCAATTGCAAAAAGCCACTGTGCAAGTGACAAGAGCAACGCCGATGCCTAACTTCAGGAACACTTGCGCTTCTTCTCACAACTGGTTTTCGCATCTTTTTGCATCTTCACCAACGCGCGGTTGCCCCGTTTCTCGAGTTTTGAATTTTGGACTGGTACCTTAGGGCGCGAAAAACAAACAGTGGGCGCACACGCAGGAATGGCCCGTATAGCTACAACCGACGCGATGTCAATTCGCGCCATCTCCAATCAAGGATTGATCACGCAGCTTATGTTCAAATAAAGGTTAAAAAGGAACACCCTAGACATACATTCGTCTAACTTTTTCAACATTTGGTGATTCTTAGTAGAGTTTCCGAAATCTTCAACAAATGGTTGTTTCGTAAGAAAATCCACAACAAATGACATTTAATTTCTCCGACAGCAACATGGAGGTACCTCCATGTACCACGAACTCCGAAAGCAACGGTAATTCCTGCGAGTCACACCCCAAGCAATTGGTCCGGCTTTTCGATTTGGAGCGTTGCCGTCCACTGGTCTTCGGTAGCGTGCTAAATCAGCTTCCCAAACGGAAAAGAATACTAAGATACATTCCTGCTATTGTGGCAAAGCGGGCGGCCATCAGCAAGGAGCTGACACGTGATCCTCGTGTCTGGCTTTCAGGCACCGTGGTTTGTCTGACGCGAGCAATCTGTTTCCAGCGCCGTCATCTATCTGCCTGCTGCAGTTGCTTCTTGCAGCTGCCAACGCCAGAGGGACGCACTGTGTCTTATCATCAAGGTCTTGAATTCCCACTGCAGCAAGCACTTGGCAACACTCTGCCTTTCTTGGCAGGAGCACCGATTGCATCCAGCCCAATGCCGCGAGCGGTGGCTAGCAAGCGAAAACGCCCCCAACATCCACTGGGCCGGACAGGGCGTATGACTGGTTGCTCCCACTTCAATGACAGGTTGGAACATGTTGGAACTCCGGCGGCGTAAGATCTCACTCTTGTATACGGGGCTATTTTCGCAGCCGCGGAGGGTGACAACGGTAGATTTCTCTAATCATAAGTCATAAGCAGAAAAGATTTGCGGGCAGCGCCGCTGTCAAGACTGGGACCACATAAACCCGCGCGACGTAGCTGCGGAACCCAAACTGTCACCTTGTATACTTGCCACAAATGCGCTCTTTTCATTGATGACAAGGGCTGCCCGGGCATGGTTGCATCGCCGTAAGGCTAGGGCCGCCTCCGCGCAAAAAGGAGCTAATTCAATTTTAACTGCGCTAATTTAACGCCGCCTTGCGGCCTACAGAACCCCGAAAGCGTAACCAATCTTGCAACCACTGGCCCTGTGAAGCCCACCGCTGAGCCCACCCTCTCCTATATCGTTCGATTCAGCCTTGCTTCCTACGTCAACTGGCTCGTCATTCCGCAGCTCTTCACTTTGAGATGTGGACAGCTTGGAACGAAGGCTGCACGAAGGCTTCGCTTCCCATTGCGTCGAAACGAACAAGTTCATTAGCCGCAGCCGCAGCATTCTCCCTCGCGCTCTTCCAGCGCAGCGCTGTCCTTCTTCTTGGCCTTGTCCCATGGCCGGCGGGAAACGGAGCCTGAGGAAAGGACTTAGGTCGGCCAAAGCTTAGGTCGGCCAAAGCAAGGCGCCGTCCCAACATTTGTGACCAATCAGATTGGCCACTTGATCAACCTGGACCAGCAACTCCTGATCGCGGGGAACCAATCTCCCAACGCGTGCCTTTTTCATTTTTTCTCATTGCGTCTGTGACCTCTTCTTTGCACGCTTTGGCCCTTGCCCGCCCACTTGGTGATGCCTCGTCAGGCGATTGACCAATAAGTGCACGCGACCAAAAGGGCAATAACCAAATCAGCCTTGAAGAAACCACATTGAAGGAGAACTTGCTGCGCGCGAAGCCTTGTAAGGTCAAACCCCGCTCCGTTGTGGAATACGGTGTAGGAGGTCAAGCCAAAAAGTTCCTGATGGAAGAGATCAGTCCAGCAGCGCGCGCATAATACCCAAGGAAGAATGGAAGAACATGGATGGGGTAAAGCTGCATCGAGGGTCAGGTGAGGTGAGGGGGGCGGCCGCGTCTATATAATACATTCTCACGCTTCGTGAGCTTCAACCATTACATGGCGCAACCAGGACGCGATGTTCCAGAGGCGCGCCCAAATTCTCGACAGCTCAACGTTGTAGAGTGGGGGGCTTGTATGATGTCTCGAGCAGGGCGAGGCCCTACGTCGAACACTGGGAATACTGGCTGAAGTGCCCCAAAGCTTTCTGACGCCGAATCACTTGCAAAGACAAATCTCTGCCAACGATTCCCTGCATCCTGCTGTCAGCATCCTGAGGAGAGCTGCCTTCAACTTGCAAGTTGTCGACGTAAGCACTCCTTATACTGGAATGTGTGGGGCATTCATGGTTGGACGGGCCAGTTCGATTGAAAAAACACCACAGTCGCCACCTTCTGGGTCACCAGGGCCTTGTCCTTTGCTGTGATCTGTCAGATCTAAGCAACAATATGAAGAAGGGGTTGAGAGCCGGGTATGTGGCGGCAAGCAGCCTTCGCGTGCCATCTTCCTCTTCGCAACAGAAAACTCCTTTGCAAGCGGCCGCAAGGTCTCCCACAGCCAAAGAACTTTCTCCTATAGAGTTAGGCGGCTTCTTCATGAAAAGCTGCTGGGCCAGCTGGTTGAAGATGCTGGTGTGGTCAGGAGTGAGCGCAAGAGTACACCAGCTAGCGTGATCGGATTGTTGCGCTTGCCAGCTCTAAGGTGACAATCCTCCAGATCACAGGCGTTGCAATCTGGGCCTGGAAACTGTACTTTGTGGAGCCTGGAAAACAGTCGCCAGCGAGCGCAGGTTTTTGAGCTACCTGTTGAATAACTGCGCTCCGGGCACAATTGCGCCGATCGTGCCCTGTCATGCTCCATCATGCGCGGCCGGACCCACGCCGCCTGGTTCTCATTTTCTTCTCTTCCGTTTCTCTTCCCTAAAACTAGTGCCGCTCCCACTTCCAGATCGGCGCACGCGTTGAGTCCGGAGAACCTTCGGTGTTCACTGGGCCACCCATCAAAAAGCTAAGGCCACTGAAGGGAGGGGCGCGGGAGTTGCACTCACACCAAGCACCGCGTCCATGTCTCATCATGTCTCTCCTGATCAGCCCCCTCCAGGCCCCGCAAGACGGCGAAGACGGCGAAGACTCATGATTGCAGCTTTTGTGGGCCCATGAGCAAAGCTGCTCCAGGAGTCAAGGACGTCAACCACTTGTCTGCTCCAACCTCCGGCTTGTCAAAACCCGTTTCTCTTCTGTGAAGCGCCGTGAACACCTGGGAGCCTTGCATCTTCAAACGCCTTACTGCTCAGTCCGGCCACACCAACTGGTGCGATCTTCCTCTATAAATGTGTAGATGGTGCAGCCCAAAACTCGAGTGACAGCATGTTTGCACTATTTGCGCGTGAGGATTTTTGGCTGCCATCTCCTACCTTTGGCTGGTGGCATCTCTAAACAGCAGGCCAACCAAACAAAAAGGGCAATCTCAAGGACCCTGCATGTCTGTTGCCATGACTCTGACCAGGAAACCATATGGTGCTCGACGCAGCCAGCCAGGCCACCGGACTCCTGTTCCAGTAAAAAATCTTGCAATGAGCGTTGCAAACCATGGCCGTGGAGCCCTAGCAACGGAGCCCTAGCGTCGATAGTTTCTGGGGGGAAACTTAAATTGCTTCGCCTTGAGCCCGCCGCGCAGCATGTGCCCAAAAGCTCAGTTCCAGACCACTCTCGTTGCCTTCGGGCCTTTGCTTTCCGCATCTTTCGGATCCAAGCCTCAAACGTGTTACTTTGCCACGCGTGGGAAATAAAGTCATATGTTGCGCGCACTGTTGCGCGCACTGTTGCGCGCATACAAGTCTATATTGTCTACGCGTGTCTTTCACGCCATGTGCCGACAGAGAAATGAAACAATGCCTTTTAGTGCGAACAACATGCACCAAACAACACTGAAGCCCCATTTCTCGACCAAGGCTCCGTCTTATGCTGCTTAACTGAACTCAAAAACATGCTCATCGGGATGATCACCTAATCACTCTTGTCCAAGCGGGTCTTTGGCGTCCACGCAAAGCTCTTTAGCTATTTGCAGCTCAACTGTGGCTTGCGCAGTTGATAGCAGAATTTGGACCGAAGTTCTTTTGGCGTGTTCTTCACGAAGTACGCTGACACGTGGCGGCCGGCTCTTAAGGAATTCACCGCTCGAGGGCAAAATTTGCATCAAAATTCAAACTAGATTCCACACGACGCCTGGCTACTTTCTCCAAGAACCTGTTTCACAAGCAGCGGCGCAACTTCGGTACAGTCGCTGCCCAAACAGTGTGAGGTTTTGGCAACCTTCCGGACGCAGCGGGATGAGTGGCTGGATGTGGAAGTTGCCAGTCGGAAAAGAAGGACTTGGATGGTGGTAAAAGGTATGGTTAGAAGGTTTGGGTCGGAAGGATGTGTTGACCATGGGGCAGGGCTTGTGTCTTTTAGTTCTCCTTCTTTGTGGCTCTGGGCTCGAAATTGTTGCGTTGTTCAACCTTGTCAAACCCTAAAAGCAACCAGTGCATCCAAAAGACTGTATTTGAGTTACTTTCTTCAAGGTAGGAACCCTTAAGTAGAGTCCTTTTTCAAAAGCCGGAAACACTGATTTAGAATACGTATGTTTAACGGTCTTTTCAACACAACTACATCAGGCGCACCAACAGCACACCTATGTTCGCTGTAGTTGTTTTTAAGGCAGGGGAGCTCTTTGGCAACCCTAGCCAGGCCAG